ACTCCCCAGATTAATAGTAAGGACAAACGCATTTGTGAATGGACAGGAGCGATGTTTCCACAGAGCTTGGGCTGCGGGTTTATATATCATAGAGTGTTTTTCTCCACTGAAACACTTATTAAAAGTCTATTTACATACAAAGCCCCTCAGCCGTGTTATGAAGCAGAAATACAACCATAACGTAAATAAACAGAACATAAAATGCATTGCATCTCAGGAATAAGTCCTGTCATGCCTCTCTCTTTTTATGGTATTGCAATCTAGTCCCAAGCTAAAATGACCCTGCAAATTAGCCGACACTCTCATTTCAGCACCGCAGACAGAGACCGCAAGCCAGGAAACTATTACGTCCAGCTGTAAGAGTTTGTTCAGCAATTCTGCTAAGATGACTACAAATCAGGAAATTCCCTACATGTGAGAAAACACTCTTTAAGACCAGATAGACACCATTCTTACAATTCTCTTTCTTCATTCTGTCCTGCATGAAAAGCAAAATGTAAATGAATGAACTCCTAAAATGTCGGTTCTGCTCCTAATTCGAAACAGCGCGCGCCATAATTACCTGGAGCAGAATTTCATTTCGCAATTTCAACAGAGCTACTCATGCGTGACTGACATCGTCCTGACAAAAATACAGAATCAGTGTAATTCACCGTACGAGCCGACGCGATACAGTAAAATCACAACGATGTTTAACTATATTCTCCATTTAATTAAAAGATGTATATATATATATATATATTCGAGATGGCAGCGTAGCGGGAGCAGCCCGAAGCCCGAGGCGGTCTATCCCGGCACGAAAGAGTTGCACACTCACAACTGAGAGGGGCTACACAGACCAGGCAGCTAAACTAAAATATCATATTAACCGTCCCCCCTGCTGGTGGGGGCATTCAGACACCGAGACACGCATAATGGGACATCATACATCATTATAGTATCGCACAATAACTGGCAGACGTTTCACACGTTTCACACACGGCACGGAGGTAAAGTTGAGGGGGCTGTTTGGGGGACGGGGGGGTGATGATGATGATGGTTAATACATTAAAATTCTACTTACGGCACCATTCAGTCACTTGTCCGTGTTGAGTTGGGAAAATGGTCAATTAGAAGGAAAAGCGAGCTGCTTAATTATCCCCACGCGACAGAGGACCGAGACCGCTTCTGTGCACGAGCGCTTAAGTGTTTAAAGTCAAAATGCAGCTAAAACGAAACACACCAGCATAGATTAAATACCAGTAGCGATTTCCGCCAAAAATCACGACTATAAAATGATACAAATGTAATCCAATGTCGTTACAAAAATGTCTTAAATATTAATAACTCGATAGAAAAAAACATTTAAAATGTGACGCGCACCTAATATATCAGAACGGAATTTTAAAATAGACTGTGAAGGTAAAAAAAATTCAGATATTAGTTACAAACATTAAACTGGATAGTCCTGTGCTTAGAAAACGAAATAAGGTAACGTTATAACTGGCCGTATTATTATCGTGTGCATATCAGCTACAACTGTGCTTCAGTATAATATATTGCTCGTTTTTACAGTAGCATTTAAGCAAACATACGCGGATGGCCGAACCCGACAACAAAATTAAACAACCGAACACACCGATTTTTATAAAGACTATTAAAGTTGCTATAAAATAATAATTACTTCAGTGCGGTCTACACGACCGGATCGTTTGTACTTACTGATACTTAAGATGCCAGTTCGAAATATCAATATCCGTCGAGTTCGACTCGTGAAAAAAAATAAATACCCTGTATTTGGCCAAACTGTGCTTATGTATAACCAGCGATTGTGGCAATGCACCTAAGCAATACGATAATTATTATTACAGTATTCCTCGGTTTCCCAAAACGGAATAAAATCGAATATTGTTACTATATTCCTTATGTATAGCCTAAATAGAAAAATACAGTAAATATAGACGTTTCTTCTGTGCACGACTAAACGGCGATCCCCTCCCTCCTTACATCCCTCTTTTTTCCTCCAAACACTCCCTCGCTCTCTCACGACGTCATAGGGAGAGACATAGGTAACGTTAGCGCTCCCCTGATCTGACACAGCGGCGGCGGCCGATCCTCTCCGTGCGTTTGCAGATGCTCACGGGGCGCCGCTTTTTTCATGCACCGGTTATATGCCGCCGTTCCCCAGCGCCCCCCTCCCCACTTCGGTCCGTCAGTCGGCCGCCTGCTCGGCGCTGCGAGACGGAGACGGAGCGCCTGCGGGGTTTCTATCAGGATCAGCGTTTTTCCGGAATAAGTGTGCATGTGTCACTTTCAAAGTATAGATATCGGTTTTATAACTGCTTATCCAAATGTATATTCCATTCTATGAAGCAATCACTATGTATTTAATGGCCGTGTGAAAACCGAACTATCGGCGTGCGCGTTCCCTGTAACATTACATCCTCTGTTTTGGGTCTGATCCTTCTCACACTCATCCTTGTGCTGTTACTCCTTATTTCTCCTACCACTGGAGTCGGTTATGAACTACGCTCCGCCCCCTCACCCCCCACCTTCGTTTCTAATTCCTCTCATTTAAATTTATTCTGCAGTGTAGTTTGTGTACGTATCGTTGCTAAATAGCCGAGGTCTCAGGTCAAAATTATCTCCCGATTTTGCTGCTTGTTTAGTCATATCCATTTCCCTTTCATGTCCCCAATCATTTACTTTGCCGCCTATTGCTATTTTCTTAGTCCTCATCAGCCGTTACGTATGAGCCGTTTGCAAGACTGTCCTCACGTAATTCTCTCCTACCGATTTAACCCCTCCTGTGTCCCACCCCCCTGCGATTGTCTCTTTCATGTCACTACACTAATTACAGTTGCAGTGAAGCATTAGTGCAGCAGTGTTCGTGGAAAAGCATTGTAATCACACAATAAAAGTTGTATAAATATTGTACTCCAGTTTCTGTGCGTTTGACAGCAGTATCAACTGTTAGATGAGGAGAGTCATCTATTAAGTAGGATATTTAACAAAAAAAGCAATTAATACAGTCATATGTATCATATAATAACGGAGTGGTAGTGCTCTTGCCCAAAGTAACTGAATTTGCCAATCCATTTACAGCCATAATTTTATTGAATCTTGGATTACAGTATGAGGTCCTCACGTTGGATTGGAGCCTGCAACCACTTACTTACAAGCATGATTGTCCTACCTGCTGCCTCACATCCACAGAAACCAGCAGGATATCTATCTGAGTTACCGGCTCCATTGTCTTCTCCGACACCATCCTGATTATACTGGGTAGGTACGGCAGAAACCCTTACAAAACGCTTCCACAAAACCAGCAGAACACATAGACACTTGTAAAACGTGTTTTGTGTGTTCAACATAATTTCACAAAAGCATTTGGCTCTAGCTCAAAACCTGACATGGTGGACATGTCTGCCACAAAGACAGAGGATGTGGTTTTTTTTATGAACTTATCGCTGGTACTTAGCAATAAAAATTAGCCGTGAGTCATCAAGTGAAGTGATGTTAGCTGTGAGTTTATTACTGCCGATGTGGGTGACTCTTTCAGGCTAATCTAGAACATGGGAATTAATGTGATAATTCACATTTAAGTAAATATATACAGTATGCATATTAATAAACAAAAGGAAAGATTTAAGGTCATAACCTTCCTTACAACACAAAAAAACATGAAAGGTAGAAGCTTCATAATGCCACAATCTGTCACTGTAGAGGCAAAAATGTAACCATACAGAACACAATAGCTTTAAAAAACTGATCTTTTTTTAAAATTAAGCATTTAAGGTGGTTAACAAGAAAATGTGTCTAGAAAAAGAGATCACACCACTGGGAAATAATGTACTAATTGCGTCACTTGATTGTTGCTTTGGACAAAGGAGTCTGCTAAACACAACGAACATAGATAAATGCATACAATGCTTGTAAGGGTTACACTGTTACAAGTTCATTACCCTCGCCTTGAAAACAAAGTCACACATTTATAGAAAAATAAATATATCCATGTCATAGTAACAATTCCTTAATGCCTACCTGCTGATCTATACAACTCATTTAGGAGCAACAATGTCCAATTTCACTACAGCAGGATTATTCATTCACAGTCTTAGAGGAATCAGCCGAAGAGGCCTTTGTTCCAGTCAGGCACAGAACCACGTGACCCAGCTTTTGGGTATTAGACTTGTTTAACTCCCTTTCTGAGATCTCCGTCGGGTAATGGAAACTGGAAAAGGGACTGTACTTGGACAAAGTGCTTGGACAAAGATACATTTGGGTTTGCACTGTTTAGAACGTAGAAAACGGCAGGGAGGGAAAAAAAACTGCTGGATAATACCTCTAAGAGCTTTAACTAGTATATTGCATGAATTTCCATTTTCACATGAATTATGTTTAATAGCAGCTAGAGATACTCACCATCACTTTGAACAAATACAGATACGTCACAAAAATGTGAAGGTAGGGCTGGGTGAGAAATCAGACGATTAAGGCAAAGAGTCACAGGAAAGATGAGGACGGTGAAAAGAGCAGATACACGTGCGTCTGGGTGTTGAAGTAAAGCCCGCGGTTTCAGCAGGAATACTGAAGCAGTGACGCTGTGTACAATGTAAACAAAAAAAATCCTCATTCACAAATTCCATTAACATTAACGCCGTGTTTTTTCATGGATTCCGGTGCTTATCTATTCCAAAATAATTCAGTATAAACCTTCTTTCATCGATGTTTATATAGGTAACATTTTACAGCATACTCCTTTATACAACTATGTATCTACAAATAAAGGAATCCTCATCTTAAGTACTGAGCTCATTGGTGAAGCAGCAGTGGCCCTTGCAGGTCCTGGAAGCTGAAAGCGCCCGGGATCGTTTCTTGCCCCCTAATTGAACCTTCACAGCGTGAAGAAGTTAGCGAAAGGAGGCTGGCATACGAGGCGAAAGTCACACGCACTTGTACCATCCGGGCAAATACGGCCTTGTGACCTGTGAATCCCAACCCCCCCCCCCCCCCCGGGAGCCAGTGCCTAACAGAGAACTAGGTCACCATCTCATGGGCCAAGGATGAAAAACCATTAGAATCACAGCTGCGACACAGGACATCGCAGCTACTTTAAACCATGTCTAAATTTGTTAAGCAGGACAAATAAAAAAATAATATTTAGTTCAAAGACAAATACCTATTTTGATTTTTTTTCACAGTTGAAATTCTCACGCTAAAACGTCACATCCAGCAGCATCATGATTTGATTTTGTAAGCTGTCTTACATTTCAGTGTTTCGCCATGCAGATTTATCTAAGTGAATACAGTTATATTATACACTGCTCAGAAAGAATTAACATGACTTTTTGTTCCTCAGCTCGCCTTCTTATGTCAGCTGTATCATTAGTATTAGAACTTCTGTGTTAACCTCAATCGATATAAAAAGCAAGAAAAACACACGCAGCAAGTTAATTATTTGTTTCCCCCTGACATTGCTTTTTGAAAAGAAGAGATTGGAATGACTGGAATAAGAGTTTGGAATACGAAAATGATTGGATTGAATGGACCACAGAGAAATGAAGCAGTCCGTCTTGTAATCCATATCAGGAATAATCACATTTTCTTCGAACTGTCGGGGGAACAACTGCAATATCCTGTGGTGCCGTCTGTCATTCAGATTATACTCTAATGACTTCTGCCTTTCCCTACAATCACTATGAAGTCATCCTCCAGTGTTGCGTCTCTCTCTTTAATGATGCACCTCAACAGACAAGATCACAGCGATTATTCAGACATCCGCACCTGCATGGATAAGAGAATCTCTGTGTGTGCGGAGAACCTACAATTTCAATCTGCTAGTAACTTTGCATGAATTGAATTCTAATACTCATGAGTCGTCTCCCTTCACTTCCTTCTAGGTGTTCCTCCTTCCCCCTTTCGTACCACTTGTGTAATATGTTTGTTTACATCCTCAGGCCCTAAAGCACCTGTATTACAAGCTGACACTCCGGTGATGCTGTTTAACAAAACACTGCTGTGTCGCCTTTCCCCGTGTCTCTGTCTCCCTGGCTGGTCTGTCCTGCCTCGGTAGGTCGGCCGTCACCTCGCAACTTGACCCGCCCTCATCTTTCGCAATCCTGTCCCTCTCCTCCTCCTCTCCTGACAGGCTGACCACGTCACTGACGAAATCCCCGAGATGTTCCACCGAATCGCATTTTTCCAAGTCGGAAGCGATGGTCTGCAGGCTGAGGACCGACAGGGTGTCTGAGCCGGCCCTCTCAGCTTCCAGCCTCTCCTTCTGCCCCCAGCCAATCTCCCTGTGCCTTTCCACCCACTCCCTGGTTTTCTCTGCACTCCTGTTTCCATCAGCCCAGGTGGCCTGTATTGTCCCTCCACCACAGGCTCCGCCCTCACTCGCAGCTCCAAGGTCAGACTCCGCCCCGATGGGGGGGCTCCTCCCACCACATGACTTGGTTTTCCTTTTTGTGGCTCGGCTCCGCCCCCGCTGGGCATGGATCTGCTCGCTGATTTGCTCCAGGTTACGCAGGGCAACAGAGTAGCGCGTCTTCACTTTTGACACGCGCTCCTCTAACTGCAGCACTTTGGTCCTGTGCTCCTGTAAGGATGGAGACATGAAAAGGAAGCAGATGAGGAGTCTTAAAGCAGGAAACCCTAGAGCAGCACAATGTGCAGCCTTAATATCAACATTGGATTTTATGCACGTGCAATTGTCACTTTGCAAGGACTGCGACAGTCAGCTGGGTTGAGAAAATAAGTCCTAAAACATTTTTACTCAGTCACAGGAAACAACACTATAAATACATATAAATCCATCCATCCATCATTCAAACGCTTATGCTTGACAGGGTCATAGGGGGGCCTGGGTCCTATCCCATAGACCACTAGGCTGGGGTACACACTGGATGGGATGCAAACCCATACACACACACACACACGCGCCTGACAGTATAGAGCCAATTAGCCTAAATCAGTGTTTCTCAACCCCGTCATAAGGGACCCCCAGACAAACCAGGTTTTTGCCCCCTCCCAGCTACCTATCAAAAACACAAATGCAAGTCGAGTGAGCCACCCTATAAATAGAATATAATAAATTAATACTGAAAATGTTGACACCATCACACCATCAGTGACAAAACATTTCTGGAAGCAGTAAGTGCTCAGTGTCAAATACGTCAGTCTCCAGCATCTTCCCCGATAAGCGCAGTGAGGTTTAATCCATCACACAGACCTGCTGAAGGATCTGCATCTCATTACTGTAGATTTAACAGGTGAGCTCCTTCTGGATCAAACCCAACGTGTTATGATGCATTCAGCGGGAAAAGGCTGCTGTGATGGAGAATGAGCTCACAGAGTACCTCCAGGATGTAATTGAACTGGGCCTTGAGCTCAAAGTAGGGCTTGGACTTGATGATCACCCTCTTCAGAGCCTTCTGCAGGGTCTGCACTCGGGCCTCAGCGTCCTGGCACAGCTGCGTGACCCGCTGGTGCTCCCGCTCGCTGCGCAGCCGCTCCTCCTCGGCCTCGTTCACCTGCCGGGAACACGAGCAGCCACGTGAGCGCCCCCTGCTGGACCATAAGAGATTCGTTGCCATAGGATAGCAGTATCTCGATCTATCACTTCTCTACAAATCTACAAATGTCACCCATGCAGCCATCCCTGCACCCTGATATCAAACTGCTTTTTATTGTTAAAAAGAACAAACAACCTCAGATTACATCACTTAGTAGTAATTTTAGGTACTACTGTCAAAGGTCAAAAGCTTTTCAGGTTCAGCAGAATACCGTCCACATTCTTCCAGCAGAAGACCCCTAGGATGTCGGTGATGAAGGACGGCTCTGCACACTCACCTTGGAGGTGGCGTGGTTCAGCATCTCCTGCCAGGTCGGATCCAACGTGTTCTTGTCTGCCAGGAGCCCCTGCTCCGCCACGTACACCATCTCCCTGGCCGCCGTGTGCATGGAGACGGCCCGCTCGTAGCTCAGGGCCGCCTTCTGGGTCTCTTGCTGGGCCTACATAGAACCCATTGTTCATTGTTCAGTTCATTGTTCCTCTAATGTGGAAGGTTTGTTATGTTTAGCAGGAAATAGATGTAGTTGTCTCCGCTTTGTCTTCCCTCCCCTTGAATTATTGATAGTTGTACAGCAATAATCTTTTGTGCTCCGCAAGTCGTCCTTAGCACTGTAATGCCTGTCCTGCCATGAATGCTGTACCAAGGGTTCTTGAGGAACGTTCTTTCATTTCACTGAGTACCTGTACATGGCTGAGACGACATTAAAGCTTTACTTGACTTGACCTAAAGAAGCCAGGGGAGGAATTGCCTGAGTGACACCCGTGGGGATTTCCCACGCCTAGATTATGAATAGAGGACTTCATTATATAACAGAAAACAATGTATTGGAATTAATATACATGCTACTGGATAAAACAATCAGCAAAAGACTGATGGAGTGACATAAAACAACAGACAGCAACGTTATTCAGAATGTCTTGTTCTTTGTATGTGTTTTGTGTGAGATCAGTTAAATTGCTTTGGTTTTTCTTTTTTGTCTCTTTCCATGCACTAAAAATAGGATTCAGGCAAACGCTTTGTAATTATCAGCCCTGGGTCTGAGGAGTGTCGAAGAGGACACAATACTCACTCCGTTTAGCACTTCAGGCAATGGAAGGTTTAACAGTGCAGGAGAAACTGTCACTCAATTATCGCTGATCAGCAGCCTAACAATGGCCTGTTCCATACTAATGCTCTATTACAGTTTACATGGCTTTCTCTAGGGGAAGCTACCCTAATACACTATAGATCCGGACATATATTTGCCAAATAAGGAAATTACCTAAAGAGCACCCCCACCCCCAAGAGCCTCCCCCCCACTTCTGCCACTACTGCTCCTCCTATCATCAGAAATACCCATAAGATTCTTTAGTCACCAAAGTTGCAGTTTACCACATGAGTAAAGTCTGCCCAAAACCTTAACTTTTAGTTAAAGCAAGTCTATCCAGATACTGCATTGTGACCTTCCGCGGGGGACGACAGCTCGAGCACATGGAGGAAACGTGGCCCAGGCAGCGCCGCCTCGCACCTCCTTGGCCAGCCTCCGGGCCTCGTAGTACGGCCTGGCCTTCTCGATGCAGCTTCCCAGCTGGGAGCCTTGGGCGTTCAGCTTCCTGGCCGAGTCCGTGAGGATCCGCCTGTACCCCGACCTGGCATCCTGCGAGGGAAGAAGGGGGCAGAGGCTCAGCCAGCACACGTACTCAAAGAGCTACGCCTTCCGGGTTCTTTTATAACAACGATGCCTTTTTATCATTCTAAGGCTTCTTCACTGGGACCACTAACAAGCATAATTAATCCCACGGGACTGGCTGCTTGCTATTACATGCAAGAGGACAAACTGCAAGTATGATTATGGCACCTGAAAAAGCTTCCAGAAGTAAATACAGATATGCAAAGAACGTAACGCACGGTATCTTTCAAAGTCTTGTTGTCAAGTGTTATTGTAAGTAAATGTTAGGCACAACAAAAAAGAACAGATTGGCAGCGCAAACGCAACATCACCTGGACGTTAATGAAAGCATATACTGTATGTCATACTGTGTATATGTTTTATTTTTCATGTGTCACATTTATTGTCATACTTCTTTATCTGTCGTTACTATTACTCATTTTGTTGTGTTAAAACTGACTTTACATTACAATCATCAGCCCAAAAACTATGCTAATGAGATGTTTCTTCTTAGACATTCTGCTTCATTTGGCTTCAGTATGAAACAAGCTGCTCATCAAGAACACTTTCACATCCTCATACCGTTTCATCTGTTATGTGTTTTTATAGCTTTGAATACGGGCCTTACATTCTTTGAGCTCTGCACTGCTATGCAGTCAATATTTACCATACAGACGGGACCTAAGGATGCGGGGAGGGGGAGAATGCCAAAAATGTGAAGCTCGAAGCACCGACTGAACATGCTGTTAGAGCCAATTCAATGCACACTGATAGCGACTAAAGAACACTGACACACCGTGACAAGCACACTGACATTTAGCGAGGGTGTCACTCACATCCAGCTGCAGCTCCAGCTTGTTAATCTCCTCACTGGCTTCATTAAGGTGTTCCAACTCCTCCTACGAAAGAGTGACATGATTACGAGGGACACTTACATAATGATGGTTTAATCCAGCTCGACAGTGGAATGATGACCATCCTGCCCTCGATCGTATGCTTCTACCGCAGCCACACTTAGTTTCAGATTCTTCCTGAGTACCGTTCAGAGGGCTGAGACCTCCACCCTCTGATGGTCTGCCTGCTGGAAATCCTAATCGTGTTTGAACTCCAGAGAGCATTTACTGTGAAACACTCCACCCTTCCTCAAACCAGAGCCTAACTGCTCCATCTTCGATCCAGGGCATTTTGCTCAGTCTGCTGTATCCTTAATGAGCAGCAAAGTCAATTCTGCAGGAGAGAAAGCCCAATTCCTCCTCAACAGCATTCAACAAAGCAGATCAACTGACAGGACGGATTCCTCGAACGTGCAAATGAGTGCAGAGTACTCCTTCCAAACTTCCTGCAGCAGTGAAAAGTCCCTTCCTATTACTGAAGACAGCATCAGAACACGAAATCCTTGATCAGTCCTTCATGCACATCCCGTGAATTCAAGTCTAATTAAACAGCAGTGTGTGTGTGTGTGTGTGTGTGTGTGTGTGTGTGTGTGTGTGTGTCGTGATAGACTGGCATCCCATGCTGGGTGCACCCCTGCCTTGTGCCCTGTGCGATCGGGAATAAGCCCCAGGCAGCCCCCCCACAACCCTACCCAGGGTAAGCAGATGAAAGGTGGATAGATAATTGTATGGTTGGCTGGGTTGATGGATAGGCCACACAATGCAATTTGTCATGAATTTCCATAATGCTATCCTAGCATGTATGCCATCTCTCTCCCATTTTATACTAAATTCTGTTCCCACACACATTTTATTTCAGCATAGAGACACGCATCCTACAACTAATCGCGGCCTTTCCGACCGCAGTCTGCGACACCAGCAGAGCTCCTGCAGTCACCTTCAGATTCACCGCGCTGACACCCTGGCAGGCTGCCGTGAACCACGGTGCTACTACTGACACCCGTGCTGCTCTGTCACAGCGTTGACTCAGCCCATTGGCCGACTGCTTTGAACGTGGCACGAGAGCGAATCAGCCCATCCTCGCTGAGATAGCCTTTCTCCTGACTATGGCGGGGACTTGTAACAGAAACAAAATTACAAAAACAAATAAAACAATAATTACATCTTGTGTAGTCAGACATTAACTACTGACACTGGCAATAAAATTCCAGTGATCATCCACGTCCAAACTAGTGCAGCATAAAGAAGAACCTATTCAGGATCTACAGTGGACACCCCCAGCAGAATGAACACTCTGACTTCAATGCATAGATGGATGGATGGATGGACTGATGAGTGGATGGATTGATGGATGAATGGATGCATGCATGCATGCCTGGCATAGCATTGCGATTTGTCAGTGTCACATGACATAAGAAGTAATCTCTGAGACTCTAGTTTAGCACAAATGTCAAACACGCAGAGTAAAAACTCAACAGACATTAAAAAATTTGACAAGGGAGTATGCTAACGCTCTGGGGAACAGAAGAAAACTAGGACTATCTCTCACTCACTGGACACACATTTCGTTCAAACTATTAACAGTGGACCCCCAGTATTATATTTGGTGTATTTTTTCACATTAAATTTAATATCATCTCAATACATTCAATATATTTATACACATAAACGAGTATAATTGCGGCTTTTGGTATCGCTGTCTATTTGCCGACTTTTCTCTCACACGTATATGGTCGTGTATGAATTTCTAAGAAATCATTTACCTGAATCCTGGGGTCTAATTCTTCCTCGTACCCATCCTCCTCCTCCTCTCCTCGGTAGTGCCCAGCACCATCTTGCGCCTCCTTGCTCTCCCCGGCACCTGTGCCCGCTCCATCATGCCCTCCGCGCCGGGCGGCCGCGTCCTTCCCCTCAGCCTCCCCACCGGGCGTCTCCTCCCGCCGGTCAGGTGATTCGGGGCCGCCCGAGCCGGCGGGGCTCCCGCGAAAGCTTCCCAGCTCCATTCCGGGCCTTTGCGATGAATTAAATATTTATAATGGGAGATGTGATGATGTTTGAGTGTAATATCCGTCTACAATTACTTAAGCATGCCAGCTGTTAAGCGTCTTCTTACAGCAACCTAGTTAGCCATCTTTCTGCAACAGCTCTCTCGTGTTAGCTAAATATTCTGCTTGTCGCTTTACAAAATAATATGACAGCGAAAATAAGAAGACTAACTGGACTGCTGTATCTCACATTAATTTTTTTATTTATATTCCCCGTTTTAGCGGAGCTCTTTTCCATCTCACCCATCACTCCTATCCCTCCCACCCTGCCTTTCTTCGCTCAGTCTCCGAAACATAAATTCCCATCATCGACAAAAGGTAAATACAGAACGCGCGTTTTCCGCCTGTTTGGCCTCCGAGGCTGCCGTAGCTGCGGTGTATTGCTATTTTAAACTTCGTGGTGTGACGAACTCATTAGGACGTAATTAATACAATATTAATTACCAATTACGTAGTACATTACTAATCAGCGCCCAGTTTCGACAGGTGTAGAGTGTAACGAATATTTACTAATTGTTGACTGACAGGGTCAATATGTCATTGTACCCCCTTGAAAAAAATGCCAGAGGTGATAGAAATAATGATATGATGTATAGTATGTATGTATGAACACTAATACACTCTGGAGAAAGAAATTTAGATTTTAACAACAAATGAATTTCACGAAATTAGCAAACAGATAACTACATTTGAATGCTTTTCCCTTGGATTTACAGAAAGACTGAAATGTTGTCTTGCAAATCTTTCTACAATATTTTCTTCAGTAAAGTCAGGAGTATTGACTTTTCACTGTTCACAAGTTCACCAGTACCAGTAGTTGAAAAAACTTCCCATTCTATGAAACCTCTTCCTCCATGCTTAATGGTGGTTGAGATGCATTTAATACAAACCTAATTCTCCTTCTAGAAAGAATCTTTTTGGCGGAGGTCTTGAACCCTTTTTTTAAGTATTTCAGAACCATGAAGACATATTAACATTTGTTGCAACAACAGCAGTAGATTATGGGGCATTTACAGAAAGGGGGNATCAGACATGAAACTGTTGCCATTGAAAGGAAACAGAATCAGATTATTAAAACTTTTATCTGTCCTGTATATATTTGTTTTTGGAAAATGTACTGGAAATGTTAAGCAACTAAAATGTTAATGTTAAATGTCCAAAGACTGATTTCATAAGAAATGTTTTTCTGATTTATATAATTTTGTACAATATAAATTCATGTGAAGCAATATTCAAATTAATATTTTCAAATCCCAAGTGACTAAAAGACTTTGATTTGCTTGCAGTAAGCTACAGGAAGCATAAGAACATAGAATTAGTGTGATTTGATCTGACAGGACATATTGAAACTGCTTCGCTGGTTCCTGGCATGGTCAGGGTGTAGTCATTCCAGTAACATGATACATCACCATCCGAGAGATTCATCAGCATCCCATAATGCACTCTCTCTGCCTGGTGGGAGAAACACCACCTTGGCCAGCAGTGCTTCAGATCAACAAGACATAAGCTGTCACACGGCAGACTTATTGTGACGCTGCCCTTGAAGACGGCAAAGGCATGACTTCATTTTCCATTAAGCATGAACTTGATAAAATGGCACCAGATTCCTGTAAACACACTTTCAGACCATTGATGATAGAGACCAGTCAACCCACCAAGCTACACAAACATCAGTTCACCTCCTGTGCTACCAAGATGAATTGTTATTATCAGTCTTACTATGGTGGCTATTATTACATCCATGTTATTTTTTATTAACATATTATTTATTATTAAGTATTATTATTGCTTGTAAATCAATTTTGGCATTTACCAGTCCTTCTTCCTCAATTAATGTATTGCATCTTGTTGAAAATAGGTGAGTTACTGCCCCCTGCTGTACTGGAAAGTTGAGCAGAAGAGTCGGAGATGACATCAGCATTAACAAAATACTGAAAGATTGCTGAACACAGAACCCCCACGATGATCCACCTCAGGATATGTGGTTCAAACATAGATCTATAAATCAAAGTAGTGTGTTAAATATATGTAACAGAGCAAATTACAGGCATGGATTGAATTTGACTTTTAATTTCTAAAATATATTTCAAAGCATTTTGCGCAATAACATTCTACAAAAAATTCCACTGATTTCTTGTATCATTAACATGATTTGATCATTAACCATCATCATCACTTTTAGAAATGTGACAAATAATCAAAATCCCCTTTTGTGGCGGTGGTTCAATGTGGTATTTTCCCATATTAATGATGCGGTCATTATGACTGTATTTCTGTCTTTCTGTAGATTTCAGTTACTTTATCCACACATTTATTTTTTTCTTAACAGAACGGCAAAGCATCTAAAAAATAAATTAACAGTACTGTACCAACTTCCTACATTTCCATTAATGGAGAACCTTGCAAAATAAAATGACAGAATGGGACAGGTTCATACACGCTTTTAAATTACACGTTGTTAAAAAGAAACACCCGTTTTTGTTAGAACAGATGAATGCATCATGACAAAGGCCTCCAGGCTTCCTGGAAATGAAAACCTAATACTGTTTCTCTATTATTCCATTCTTGCAAAATGTGGACACATGCAGATCCTAGGATCTCTCACCCTTCCAATGCAGACTTTCTCAGGTTCCTCCAAAAAAGTTCCATACTGTCAGCATTATGCAGGATTACATCCGGCAATACAATTATCGAAATCATTATTATAATACGATTTGGCTAACAGGTCAAACTGAAAAAAAGTACATTTGACCCAATGATCGACACTCTCTTATGAGATCTTCACCTCGTCAGATGTCACCCTCATTCCACAGCACTGACCCAAGGAGGCAGTCGTGGGATTGATAGTGAAGCGGGGGGGGGGACCCAGGAAAGGAGTATGATCCATATTCAAGGATAGTGATGTGTTATATAGGATATTTACCAAGCCACATAATGCTCTCAACTTTTTAGTGTCTTAAAACAATTATACAACTAAAAGTTGATCTTAACCACTGAGAACTTTAGCAGCCAATGATTATTAGAAGAGAGGAGCGTTTCTCCTAATGAACAGACAGAGCTTTGATTAATACATAAACGGTGACTGCTTATCCTCATAATTCAAATGGCTTATGGAACAAAAACTTTTCCTTACATATTTAGCACAGAAATACTGAGCTGAATACATCTTGTCACAATGACATATGTGTATTACATTTTAACTTTTAAATAAAAATATTCTGTTGATGTAATACTCGATGGTCTTACATTAAAAATGCTGTTTTTTAACTTAAAGATTTAAGAAAATCTTGGCGAGAACTTTTAAAGTTCGTTATGATCTACACGTAGCTATTTCATAAAATGTGCAAAAAAAAAATGCATAAACCTGCCATGCAACTTGTATGAACAAAAGGTCTGCTAAATAAATATTATGATGCAATGGCTTTTGGCAGAAAACTAGCGGAATAGCCTTTTGTCTTATGGATTAAAGCGCGTACTTTGAGCTGGACACATCAACGGAACCCCCCCGAGGGCCGGCAAACACGTCACAGGAGCCGAGAAGAGCGCGGATTCCCCTCGCATCCCAGCACGGTGTCCCAAACAACTGAAGTCCTCATTTTCCAGAGACTGCAGAGGATTTGGGGCAGGATGTGGGTTTTGGAGATCCTTCTTCTACTTCCAAACTAGTAGGGCGACGTCTTCCATTAAAACCGATTACCTGCACAGGCCAGATAATAAGTTAAATGTCAGTTTTAAGAAAAACTGTAATAATTTATTCATCTCCTTGGGGAAGTTGCATTTTGTTATATTTAAAGAATGATCTATTGCAATCTCTCAGCGCGTTGCTGTAGTGGATGCTCATTAATGTAATCGCTTATTTTGCATACCACACTACCTCGCTTCAAGGTGAATGCTGTACACCGGTCTTCTCGGGGAGAGCAGAAGATATAGCTGCCTACTCATATAAAATTAGCAGTGACCAGCCACCACTCACCGTGTGACAATTGTTATAGCTGCTGCATGGGTCTTGACTTTTGGCAAAAGTCGCCCTTTGATCGTCCACCTTGGATGCACCTTGGATGCACCGAGATCCATCTGTAATTATAAATCGTCTGCGCAGGATATCCGACAGCGGGGCGGTGAGAAGCGTGCAGACGCTCTTCAGAGACGGCCAGCCGGCGCGGAGCATCACCGGCGGCCCGTAGTCGTTGCCGAATCTCCTTGATTTCAGCAAACACTGTACAAACAAGCATGCCTTGGGTGCTGACTGACCCAGAATAGCTCCCGCGAGCCTGCCGCCTCTTGTTTCCTTCGGTGGAGTGCTTTTCCCAGACCCTAAAGCGACCAAAACCGTCTCCGCGAAGCCAGATCCCCGGCTGCACGGTTCAGCACGTCTCCGCCCGTTGGACGCCGGCGCAGCCGCGGACCGGCTGCAGGGAACCTGCGCCTCCGTCCGCACGTGGCGGCCGCTCACCGAAGCCCCGGCATCTCTGGATCTGTCGGTGAGCAGCTCCCACCGGATAACCACGGATATCCCGTCTCTGACCTCGGCGTATCCTCCGAAAAGTAACGCTCTCCACTCCAGCCGGGGCTGACGCAAGTCCACGCTCGCATTGGACGCTGCCGGCTCGCCGCTCGCCCCGCACTTGGGCCCGAGGCTGTACCCGCTTCCAGGCCGCTTCTTGTTTGCCTGGTTGCGAGCGAATATATTTCCCCTGCAGCGAAGAACAGCCGATAAAGCCGAAGCTGAAGGAGTTGAGGCCATTGTAATAATAAAAATGCTAAAACGTTACTGTCTGTAAACACAAGAAAACTGTCAGCTTGAAAAGTATCAAAAATCTAATCTAAGTAAAACAAGTAATAATTCTTTGGGGAAAAGAAAAATTATGGGGGACATATCAAAATTGGCTGGCCCAATGAAATAAGTCCGAGTTACCGAACCAAATAAGCCGAAAAAGCGTATGTGGCTTCTCTAAAATAGGGGTGTGGGGGAGGAAGGTCTCTTTCCAAAACAGAGTGGAGGGCAGTTCATAGTTACAAAACTTGGCGTGGATGTGGGACGCAGCGGTTCATTGTCGAGACATGCAGCACGGTGCTCTCACCGCAGAATTAAAACTCAAGTAACAGTCGAAACGGTGATATGTAGTGACACCCATCCCTCAAGTATGATTATATTTAACAAACAGCTCCATTCAACTCGCACTTTGTACTTCATCACGTGTTCAGTCCATAGGATGTGAGCTGTCATTAGAAGCCTAGAAAGAGATGAGTAACAAACAGCCTACAATTATGTGAGTGTCAGCTTGGAATGATCCATCCATCTTCCTCAGCCACTTAGCACAGCCAACGCGGCGCTGAAGTAAACCTGCAGCCTACGGCACGGGGAAGCATGCCAGCATACCAGCATACCCATTCAGGCTCCAGTTTGAGTCACCCTATCAAAACTTTTGTAGGACATGTTAATACTCAGGGAAACATGTATATGTGCAATATTTTCTTTGTAATTTTCTGCATTACAATAAGCAATCAGCGACAAAACTCCACCCACTCTAGGCCTGAAAAAGCCTGCGTTTCAGTATCAGTTTGAAACTGAAACGTTACAGATTTTCAATAAACACGATAAGATTCATGTATAATACGATGTGTGATTGGGTTACTCCGTACACATACATCATATTGATAGTGATCAGTATTAGTTGTAATCCCCAGTACAAATACATCCCATGTTATTGTTGTGATATTTGGATTTTTATCAGAAATACCACACGAGGGCGCTCAAGGTCTTAGAATTTAAAATGGAAAATGTTTTTACTTCTCAGTCTTAATATCTCTAATGTTTTGACCGTTTAAACTGTATGGATTTAAAATATTTCAAACTTTAACCAGTAGACGATATAACACAGTAAGCAATTTAACATTCTTTTTTCGACTGGTTTTACAGGCGGCCTTGTTCATAAATCGTCGTGATTCTGATTCGACTTGTATGTCAATTAGCGAGAGCCACAGGTTAAGACTATGTCCCTGTATGTATGGGATGAGTCATGTACTAATTTAAAATATGTATATCTTTGTTATTATGTTATCCAAACAATATATTTAAGCATAGTTATAATGCTATTATGATTGTTAATTTTACGAGTTATAAGTTATAAAATGAAATATAATATAACAATATGAATGCATAATTACATGACAACCACAAAATGAACGGATTACGTATTTATAAACATACATAGAAATGGAATTAACGGGAATTAGAAGAAAATATCTGTATCACTTAAAGAACGCATTGGGTGTGTTAAAGAACAACAGTCCTGCCGCCTGCCGTGGTCTTAAAATACACCAAGCGGCACACGGACATTTAACGTCAATAAGGGAGTGTTCCGTTTCATTTAGTGCTTTGTGTTCAGTACTTTTTAAAACGGTGTTTTCAGTGAATTAAGTTATATATCTATAGTTTATATAAAAAATTGTAAAATCTGTCTTGAATATAAACTTTGCCTATATTTGAGTTGTAGGACGCTATAAATAAAGTAAAATAACCACCTTCCAAACTCAGTGTGTAATAAGTAAACATGATTATTTCCGTCTTATTCCTGGTACTCATTTCTGTTGTCTTGTCAGTTTATGTTGTCATTTATCATTTAGTGAGCGATTTGTAGTCAGACAGGTTTCAGGCAAGTGACACGCAAGGTCTCTGCGGAATAGAAGAATGCACCTTATCTCGATACAGTGCTTTTTTAGTTTTCACTGTCTTTATAATTATTCACACAAACACACACACACACACACACACATATATATATATATATATAGAGAGAGAGAGAGAGAGCGAATTCAGCGTTGTTTTTGTAATTTCGTGAAAATAGTACTACAAAGTGATTTATGAAGAATTCGCTTATAAATAATGGGCGATAACAAGAGAATCTGATGTAGTCGCTGATGGCAATACACAAAAAGTGAAATCTTCGGTTTCATTACAAGTTTGACGAAAACTTTGTACTACTAAGAGAAAAAATGCCGGTTCGAAGGAAGGACATACCGCGTATTCAGAATTAAACGGTCGAATTTTCCAGCATGAAGGAAAATCACAAACCGGATCAGCTTTCCTGTTTTTACATTGCGGTGCTGTTGGCTTTTGTCAAATAGAACATGAAAGAGAATCCACACATATTAACGTGCCATTAACCAAACACTGAAAATATATCTCCTAGTTCCTGTTTATTAGGTATTAGCCAACAAGCCACCGAAATATCCTGATACTCGACAATGATCAACAAGGACACAGTTTAGATTACGCGCTGATAACTTGTATGTACAATGTTAGCAATCAATAAAAACGACCTGAATCTCAATTTTAACCTTTTTTTTTATTCAAAGAGTACAATAATTTCACGTATCTATTTACATAAACAATTAAGTAAAACATGGAATATAAAGTGCAGTGCACAGTTAGTGCCGGTAGATCGTGGAGAACAGAGCTAGCCTGTCTCGGGGCATTTGCACAAGGTAACAGCTGCCCATTCACAGCAAATTCTGAGGTGTAGTTTAGGGTAATAGTGCATGTGCATGAAGATCTGGAAACTCAAATCAACCTAATGACCAGCTTCAGGTACCATTCCCCCGTTTCATTCTTCTTTTTTTCTACTTTTGTTTTATTTACCTACGAACTTTCTCCAAGAAGCGCAGTTTCCCCATTAGGCCATAAGAAGACTTTTACCACAAGGAAAACCAAGGAAAAAAAAACCCCAGTTCATTAACGTCACAGTCCTTTTTTTCTGGCATCATAGTTTTCTTTCTTTTTTTTTTTGTCATTTCCTGTGTTCCTTGTTAATTCTTAATGGTGTCGATGTATTCGGTCACAGTCTTCAGGTACCATTCCCCCCTTTTCATTCTTCTTGTTTATACATTTGTTTTATGTAACTACAAACTTTGTCCATGAAGTGCAATGTTTCCCATTACGCCATAAGAAGACTTTTACCACAAGGAACACCAAGGGAAAAAATATCCAGTTAATTAAAATGTTACAGTACAATTTTTCTGGCATGACAGTTTTCTTTCTTTCTTTCTTTGTCATTTTCTGTGTTCCTTGTTAATTCTTAATGGTGTTGATGTATTCGGGTTGTTTCTGCGTTAATCATTGATGCGTGTGGAGTCCCCAGCTTCCGTATAGTTCCGCAGTCCCTCAAGGTTACACTGCCTGAGTGTTCTTTTGGAAAGTGATAACAGCAGAACTCCTTGCCCCGTTTGCTACTCTTCCTGACCTCCACATGCAGAACATTTGCATGTTACACTTTCCAATCTGTTTCACTTCCCCCGTTTCCATTTCGCTCCTTCATGGACGGTGCTCGTTCGATGTGTTTCCGGTATTAATTTGGTTGCCCATTGGGGCCAATGGCATCACAACAAATGCCAGGATCCCCACCAGCATCAGGGTGACCGTTATTATGATAATGGCCGCCACCACCGCATAATAGCAGTGGTTGGAGCGCATGATCTGGCGCAGGCGGGTTCTTACCCTGCTAGGGGGGCGACCCACATCGACGGTGGTGGCTTGGTCAAGCCCTGCCTCTAGGTTCCCAAACTGCAGGTTGCCTTGGGCCTGGTGTTCCTTCTTCTCCTTCTTGAAATTGGGCAGAGCGAGGCTGGACGCGGCAGGCTTGTTGAATGCGGGGGGCTTCTTCAGGACGAGCTTGCCCTTACTGCGCTGAAAGCGCACAGACAGTGCCCGCTGCATTTCTGGGGGCAGCCTGCTGAAAATGTCCTTGTTGTTGTCCAGCTGCGGCAGGTCCCGGCCATGGGGAAGCTCGGTCAGCCCCCTGCAGATGGGGCAGGCCAGGGACTTCAGCTCGACGGACGACACGTTGATGCGGGCCAGGCACTCCAGACAGAACGTGTGTCCGCAAGCCAGGATCTTCGGGGCCTTGAAGACGTTGTCGTAAGGGCAGAAGCACACGATGCACTCCGTGTCCTCCGTGCCATCGTCACGGCCCCTGTTCCCAGAGACCCGCGACCCTCGGCGTTCCTCGCTCCGTCCACGCTGCCTCCTCTCTGCTCGGTCCTGCTCCATCTTGCGTCCGTTCCTCTCACCCAGGCCTGCATCGCTGCTCCTGCTTCGACGCATGGACCTGTTCTTCCTCTCAGCCTGAGGTATTTTGTTCTGCTGTGTCATCTTGGAGCTGTGGCCTCCTCTGATGTTCTCGCTCCCTTTCGCATCATTCATAATGAAGAAAATTCTGTAGAGGAAGCAAAAATGCAAATGTAAACATGTAGGATTAGCATATATTTTAGTCTGTTACCGCATTAGTGACCATAGGCTATCCAAGGGAAAGCTTAGCGTGAGCACACTCACAGGTATTCTGCTTATCCATTAGTATCTTTTGCCGAGATATTAGTCGTAATAGTTTCTAGTATATTAACTTGTATTATACTTTGTATATTAACTGTCCATAATTATATACTGTCACTTTAACTTTTTACATGTCTTGTAGATTCTGTAAATACCCTTTCTCCCAGTTAGGAAAAGCTTACCTCTTCTGTATAGTTGTATCAGTATGTCATTCACCAGTAGTCAAGACTGATTTGTTTTTTGTCCACATAAATAATCATACCGTGAAGCTGTGAAGTCCAACACTTTTTTAATTGCCTTCCCCCTCTTCTCTCCTCTCTTCCCTCTGTCGTCTTATTCCAGTTCGCTCCTGTCCTTCGTTCTCTCTCTCGCTCTCTCTCACCCTGTGTACTTCCCTCTCACTCTCTCCTCCCACCATCTGGTCGGACCTGTTGGTGCGGCTTGCCAAATCACAAGTATGAATGTAAGGAATGCGATGTCAAGGGGGAGAGATTTTGCTGTGCGACCTGCCTTGTTGCGTAGATGTTTGTTTGACAGCATACATGACACACGCGTCACGCACACATCTCATCTGCACAAAAGCAGTCCCACGAATCACTGTTCTGGATTTTGGTGATATGATAGTTCATTATCTCAACAACCTCCAATTTCATTCACATCTTGGTTTTCTCAGTGTTTAAAATTCATGTTAACCTTTTCAAGTTTCAGGTCATCTTTTCTATTCACAAGGCAAATACCAGTGTTCTCGAAATACCAGTTTCGCTAGACTAAGTGCACAGTGACGGACAGCATGGAGCCGTCTCTGTGAGAGCAAGGCTGTTACCATACAACGTACCGGCAAACTGTTCTGATGCAGTCATTTCATGCTACACCACTGCTTACATTTCCTGAATCATAAAACAAAAAAAATTCAGCACTTGGCTTTACGTGGTCTTCAAAGTAATGAGTATCACAAACTATTCAAATAAGCTAGATGACTGATAAATACCTAAGAACAGCTAGTCCGCTCCACAGTGGACTGTACTTCTTTGACACAATGACGGTGTGTTACAGTTCACTTGCAGCTGTATTCCATCAGGTGAATGGGTAACAGAGATATTTGAAAAACACAAACATCACTGGCCAGTAACACACAGAGACAAACTTATGTAAAGAGGGAAAGAAAAGAAACAGTTTCAATTTTGTAGGTTTTATTACAAAAATCAGTTTCAAAACAGCCATTAATTAAATGACGGGACGCGATGTCAAATGCCGCCCCCCTCCCCCACTGCTCTGTGATGCAGGCGTCAGAAATAAAAAAATAAAAAAAAGAGGAATACAAGCAAACCTGTTAGACCTGTTCATTTCACTGCGCTAATAGCCTGGTATGTCTTCACCTAGCATGAACAAACAGGCTAAAACAGGACAAACAAAAAAAAACAAAGAATGAAGGCTTAGGGTCAAAACAAACTGTTCTCATTGCAGTAAAAAGCAACAATAAAAACGAACAAAGGCGATGGTAGCTGTTTACACAGGGGACTGGTAGATTAGACATTAAATGTTAGGTGTGTGATGCCCACACCCATGCACTGGTGCGTGGTCGAGACGCTCGTCTCCCCTGGAAACCACGACGGTCGTACTGCTTAATAATCGTGACCCCTCAGGTGACCCCTCGCTTATCCTGTCCTTTCCACCTCACAGTGCTCCACCAGTAACCTTTTGCCTACGGGCATCCTGGAGATTACAGACCGGCATTCCCAGTATCAGTGTTTCCATCGCAAACCAGTTCTTTCTGCTTCCACCCAGGACGCTCGTGAAAAAGCGCTATGAGCACGGCGTCTTGTGACAGGCAGCCTGTTCCGCTCCACCATCCTCCACAAAGCCACACGTGAACTGCTCTCTTCAAAGGGTCTTGCAGCTCGACACAGACGTCTAGCGCTGTGTACGCGAAGTTGTTTTCAGAAGCAACACTCAGCACGTTATCCCTGTTGTTGCCAGTCCAAAATATGGTCCCCCTATACACCAATACAGTAAATCTATGTACTCAGTCTCTTTCCCCCAAAAACCGGTGGCTTATCACACTTGAGTCTATTTCAGTCACAGCCTTGAGTTCTGGTGGATAAACTCATTTGCTCCTTTGGTCCGGTGGCACGGTTCTTCAGCCCAGCTCCTCTCGAGCTTTGCCCAGCTTACGGGGCATCTTCTTGCTGCTGCTGTCCTCCAGCTCTTTGGTCTTGTAGTAGTGAGGGGCCACTTCCAGCAGCCAGCCACTGTCAATCTCTATTACCTGGACGGGCGAGAGAGACGTTCCTGAAGCTTAAGGCGGCCTCAGGCGTTGAGGGTCACGCGCGAGCGGAAGTCGGCTGATTCATACCCTAGGAAGACTCAGCGTTTCCCGTACTTACCTTGATCGACGCACCTGACCGGAATTCAGCCCAGTACAATAACCAATAATACAAAAAAGGTTGCTTTAAGTAAGTGTAGACGCCTACAAGCCCAAAACAAAAACAGAGCCGACGTGGAGCGGAACGCATCCCGCGGTCAGGGCGGGTAAAAGCACGGTGCCTAACCTGTCTCATAAACTCCTTGGTGGTGAACACCAGCTCGTGGTAGATAAGCCAGCGCGGCTGCTCCTCGAACAGGGAGCTGTTGGGGTGCACGTAGACCGTCTGCTGGTGCTTCACGGTCTTGTAGCCCCCTTTACTGAGCCGGGCCGTGTGGTAGAAATACCCAGCAGTCACTGCCTGGGGGGAGGGCAGAAGGGTAAAATCAAGAAGGTCAAACTGGGAGTCAGGTTTCATACCTGCGAGCGAAGTATTTAACCTGACTTTGGTTAAATATTAGACTGTTTATAAGCATGAATCTGTCAGCTGTATATTGGAAGCATTAATAGAAGAGATAACAATAAAGGAGGGGGCTGAAGGCCGAGGAAGGGCAGGGGGCTGAAGGCCGAGGCGAGGAAGGGCAGGGGGCTGAAGGCCGAGGCGAGGAAGGGCAGGGGGCTGAAGGCCGAGGCGAGGAAGGGCAGGGGGCTGAAGGCCGAGGAAGGGCAGGGGGCTGAAGGCCGAGGAAGGGCAGGGGGCTGAAGCCCGAGGAAGGGCAGGGGGCTGAAGGCCGAGGATGTGGTGCCACGGACCTTCCGGATGGGGACGCCGTCTCCGCTGCAGCTGCACACCTCCACCTCTATCCTGTCCATGAGCCCTTCCAGCTGCTCCCTCACATCACGGGCGCGCCTCATGGAGCGGAACTGGATGAAGTTCTCATAGCACCACTGGGTGGAGTAGCCGCTCTCGACCCACTGGGGGAAACACCGATCAGAATGGCACTGAACCGCACCCAGAGTGTAAAGCAAGCAGATACTTGAACACACACACACCCTCACAAACACACACACCTTTATGGGGAATCTCCATTCAAAATCTATTACTAACTATGACAACCTTTACCCCTACCAGCCCTAAGCTTAACTAAACAAAATATAAGACTTTCAGCTATTTAAATTTTTTCATTACAATAATAGATTTTTATAAAATCGAATTTAACCTTCTGGGGAAGACAAAAATGTTCCCACAAGATCAAAATAACAGGTTTTTATCACATTGTGGGGACATTATATATACACAGACACACACAGGGAGAGCGAGCTGTACCTGTGTGTAGACATTTAACAGCACCAGGTGATCTCCACCAGGCACAACGAAGTTCATCCTGGCATTATCTGCGTGGACCACCTTGTCTTTGGGCCGGTAGAAGATGGAGTTGTTCACAGACAGCATGGCGGCAATGGTCAACACCTCCTCTGAGCACTTATACCTGACAAAGAGGGGGGGAGGGGTGGGCGGGGGTCGACACTAACCAACTGAAGGGTGTTTACAGTCTTTGAGCCGATCTGCAAATGCAACTCACTGTTCTGAGGCCAGGATCATCTTGCTCAGCATGGGGTCCACTGGCAACTCCGCCATCCTGCGACCCAACTGTGAAGAACAGAATGATTAAGTACCATCATATTATGGCAGAGTACTGATGGCCTTGTAGTACTGATAGTACTGTAACTGGGTAATATGTTAAACATATATGCTACAGATGGCAAAAATTGCTTATTTTGAAGAAGCCATTTGAATACTTGTATTTACGCTTCTTCCTTAACTGGAGACTCTGCAGCAACATTCAAATTCCTTCATTAGTAAAGCTATAGATCTGGCTGGATCTGCCTGAGATAAATGTCACATGGGTTCTTCACGGGGTTTGCTGACCCAGGTTCTGGGCAATACCTTGGTGAGCTCGCCGAGGTGGTTCAGAGCACCCAGGGCATAGAGCTGCTCCAGCGCCAGCACCAGAGTCTCATGAGGAGGCGGGTCCATGAAGTCGAAGTGAATCAGGTCATTTATACCTGCCAGAGAATGGATGAGAATAATGAATGGAGGGATACAGGTACAGGTGTGAGTCAGGAGGAACAGGAGGATGACGGCAATATCTCAGGACAGATTTTCCTTTGAAAGGAGCTCCAGCGTGCTGCTCTCGCTGCATGTTCTTCATACCCAGGCTCTTGAGAAGCAGCACCACGTTGCCCAGGTTGGTCCTCTGGATCTCTGGCACGGTGGACTCCTCCATCTCGTGCTTGAACGCCCAGGCTGTGTAGAGCCGGAAGCACTTCCCGGCTGCCACTCGCCCGGCCCGGCCGGCACGCTGGTTAGCAGAAGCCTGCGGCACCGGCAGAGCGGACGGCCAGGTTAGGCACGACCTTATCGTCGAAAATGCCACCCCAACTTCAGGTCTTATTTAAACCTGCCGCAGTCACTTTTTAATGGTGAGTAAAGATTATTACTACACTTAAGGCAGCATAATTCATTGCACGTAACATTATTAGTAACCAATTATGCAGACACAGAAAAAACTACTTAAATTATAAAACCAAATGAGGCAGACACAGCCCTTCACTTTGTACTGCAGGGTGAGTTAGGCCCTCGGGGAAAAGTAATTGGTTTAATAGTGAACCGATCAAGACTGGAATCTGTTTCACAGCTATTTAAAAATGGGTGACAATGCTGTTATGCGTGTAAACAGTGCCATGAATTGGAAAATATATAACATGTATAAACAGTGACTTACGATGTGTAATTTAAAAGTGTAAACAGTACAACTGAGGCGTGAAGTCATTACCCGTGAGCATGGCGTGACGATGAGCGACTCCATCCCCGTCCTGGCGTTGTAGCTCTTCTGCTTGCAGAACCCGGGGTCGATGACGTAGATGATGCCGTCTATGGTGAGCGACGTCTCGGCGATGTTGGTGGCCACCACGACCTAAGGGACGGCCCCAAATTTGGGTGAAGGCGGTGGGGTGATACTGCACAGGAGCTGTAACGCCCCCTATGGGCAAATCCAGTGAAAAGCGACTTGGAATTGACAGCCTGCTTACCTTGCGGGCTCCCGGTGGCGTGGGGTTGAAGATCTTGGCCTGCATGTCGGAGGGCAGGTTGGCGTAGATGGGGAGTATGATGAGCTCGGAAATCTTGGAGCCCAGGCGCCTACACCT